GTCTACGACCGGGACACTAAGTTACCCCTTAAACAGCCTACCTGCTGACTGTCCTTCACACCATGTCAATGTTTTGAGGCTCAGCCGAAAATAACCTTTCAGTGGACTTTATCGTAAAGTTGCTTTGGTTTGTTCGTTAGTTAACCAGATTACTTTGAATCTTTCAGACATAAGTTACACTAGTCTTGTAGTCGCTGGTTCGTATTGCTATGTCAGAACTCAATACTGGCTGGATGTCGGATATTATCATTATCATTTGAGATAGTTTAGCCTACGTATTTTAAGCCAAACATTTATTTATTTATTTATTTCGACGGTAATCGCCATTTTACAAAATAATATTGATTGAGTGAAGGAGTATGGAATAGAGTGGGATAATCTGTAGCTTTGTTACTGACTAAGATCAGCTGTTTCATTAGCAACTTTGGTCATTGACTCTCAGACTATAAAGCATTGGCTCTACATCATTCATGAATGGTACATTAAAAAAAATATATATTCTTTAAAGTAGGGAGAATTATATAACCTTATAGCCTAATAAATAGTTTTATCATACAGATACAGCCACCTCAAATTTCTTACTGTATATAGCAGGGCCAATACTGTTAGAGTTGGTGATATATCCTACCAATTACCGGTAAGTGATGGTGGAGGTGCCTAGTATGATGATATTTTGCCAGAGGACCTGAGTAGCCTGTAGAGGTGAGGGGAGGGGAGGAATGTAACCTTGACATGTATACACCATGTGACCTCCAGCCAATCACACTGCGCCAATCGTCATTCTCTCTAATTGTTGTCAATTATTGTACTCCCCGAGCTGGTGGCCTTGCACAATATAACCTGCGAATCTTGGTGCTCTAGGGCTGCTGTGCTATGTAACAGTCCATCAACAAAATAGTAGTTCATCATTAAAAGTGTTAATATTGAAGTCCCCCACTATGCGCGTATGTCTACACAATTGTGCTTCTGGCAAATTTGAATTTAGATTGTAATCTTTAGTCCTTAATGTGTAACTAAAAATTAAAAGAAGCCAACAATACCTTAGGCTAATTCCCTGTGAGAAATTGTAGGCTTTTATTGTAGCTAAATGAGTTATGTGGTTTTAACCAGTTGATGTTTTCCCTATGCTTGAAACTTTCATCATTTACTTTAGTTCATCCCGTTGGTTGTTTTAACATGTCTCTAGTTTCTTGGATGCAGTAGATTAAGTTTGATTACGCCTAACTACTTCAACCAAGTAAGATTATGTTCTAGCAGAATAGAATGTTTTAAGAAAATTCTCTTATTTTAATTTTAGCAGATTTTAGTTAAATGGGCTAAATGGCTTATGTTATAAAAATGGATATCCATCCCACTGTGATGTATTTTCCTACTTCCTATTCAGTTGTTAACACATGTGTCATTTGTGATTTATTTTATCATTATATAGACCTAAACATATCTGTGTGTTATCTTTGGTCATAGCTTCTGAAATAGACTTATCCTTTATATGAGCCATTGATGCGACTGTCTATGATATTCTCTCACTTAAATGTGTTTCGCTGTACAGTTAATCCCTGAATGTAAGAGCAACTTGTTATAGTGACAGAATACTTTTTGTTGGACCTAAATACCTTCAATCGTAAGTAGGCTGTGTGCTTTGTATGGGGTTATTGAATGCCAAACTCATGTATGATCCTACTAATATTATAAATGAGAAAGTTTAGATGTATGGATGTATGGATGTATGTTTGTGACAAGTGAACGTGAAAAATACTGGTCGGATTGGGCTGAAATTTGGCATGATGATAGCTCACATTCCCGATTAACATATAGGCATATTTTTATTTCAAAAATCCTTTCGGGCTCCGCCCCAGTGGCTCTGGAGTTTCCCATGTTAACCTTATGAGAAATGGAATTATTGAATCTTAACAGCTGTTTCAATTAAACAAGTTGGTTATGTTCTGTGATGTTCAATAGCATTAAAGTTACAAGGATTACCAACAGGGTGCAGCACTATTATTTCTTTTACATTTATGACAACAGCTAATTTGCAACCAAAAGGTGAGTGAGCGTAGCGAACGAACTTCAACCTGGAGGCGAGTTAGCGTAGCGAACGAGCTAACCTGAAGGCAAGTGAGCGTAGCGAACAAACTTCAACCAGGACGTGAATGAGCCATGCGAACGAGATAATCTTGAAAATGAAGAAGTTAAACGGGGCAAAGCCCGCGGGTTACAGCTAGTGTTAATATAATTTGAATTTAATTAGTATATGAATCTTTCAGTTACTTCATTTGTTTATGTTTATGATCTATTATACTGAGTCTGTTCTAATATTTGTGAAATGCTGTAATAATATTTTAGAGGGAATAATTCTTTGTAAAAAAATTGTTCATGGATATAGGAAATAATTAAGATTCTATAATCATTGCCCTATCAATCTAGGCTCTTATTCATGAGGTTTATTGTGATAGTTTTTCGTTTACAGTGCAAACCATGAAATACATTCTTTTATTATACCTTAAAATCTATCTTTGGTTTTGTATGGTAGGTAGCATAAATAAGTAATCACAGTAAGATTTAACAAAAACGTACTATTATCAAGTTAAGTAGTACAGTTAAATTTTGTTTCTAAATTTGGCATTTGGAAAACCATTTGGCATGTTTCTAAGAACCAACATGGTCTCTTTTGCATACTGACCCCGATGCAAGGCCCGGGTATAGCTGCTAGCAAATAGAATAGTAGCGCTGATTTGCAGTAGCTGTTCAAATGGCGCTACTAATTGCACCAACGATAACATTAGGTTTAACGAGTACCTAGGTTTTTGCTGCCTACAGGGAGGGCAACGAAGTGTGATTTTAAGGAACATATCATTAGCTTACTATGAAATAAATACATTTGCCAAGTTTGATAAAAATTGATCCATAAACAAGCAATATTACAACAGTTTACTTATCCTACTAATATTATAAGTAAGAAAGTTTGGATATGGATGGATGGATGGATGGATGTTTGTGACAAGTAAACGCGAAAAATACTAACGCTAATTTTAACCAACTAGCAACAAAAAGTTGTGGTACACAATGAGAACTTAACTTTTTTTCATGGTTTAGGTGCAGTGGTAGAAAATTAGGGCTATGGTAGATACTGTAGGACACTATAGGATACCGTATAAATTAAAAGACAAAATTTTCTTAAACCGTGTCCTCTCCCATAACTACAATAAGCATTTATACTTATATGCCAACCCCGTACGAAGGACGGGTACTCTGCTAGTATGTAAATAAAATTGGGTGGAATGACGTGTTTAAGTAACTGACAAGAATCAGCTGTTACTTTCGCTTTAATCATAATGGTATGTTAAAACCGATCAGTACAAATTAATGATAGTAATGCCTTCAGTTACCTAGTAAAACCATAGACAAAAGAATTAAATATAGACTGTCAGCCGTGCTGCGGTTACCATAGGTTCTGGCGCACACCGTTACTGCATGGCGCTCCCAGCAGTGTGTGCCAGAACCTATGGTAACCGCAGCACGGCTGTTGGTCTATAGCCTATTTAATTCTTTTTGTATATGGTAAAACGTACCTAGAATATTACGCTGTGTTCACAATATTTAGGCAGTTTGAGGGGAAACAATTCCATCCCCTCCACCTCACCATAACTTCAGCTGATCAGCTGATTTTTATTCATCAGCCTTAAAAAAAGTGGTAGGGGAACCCAGGAAAACTTCTCTTTAAACCGCCTAAATTTTGTGAACAGACTTTAGTCCTCAAGATCTTTTGTCAGCTGTTTTGTCTTTGTCTACATTACAGTTAGCCTATTTGTTCACATATTAAAACAAAGTTTTAATCAAAGTAATTTTACTGAATGTGAGTTTGGACAATTCAATTGCATGGCAATCACAGAAAGTTTAATAACTTACTCAAGACATTGTGGGTGGCTGGGAGGTCATCTTAGATTGTTATCTCTAGATAGTGAAAGAGACCTTGCAGCTGAATCTGAGGATTTCCACGCAACTGAATGCTGATAGCCCCGAGCCGAGTGATTGTGAAATACTCAGGCTTTCGCTTTCCAACCTGCATGAGTGGCCGAGGGATATGTAATTTTGTGATGAAAAAGTTAAATGTCTCTAGAATCAGTAATGGGTTAATCAGTAACACCCCACGGCACAACTTTCGACGAATTTGAAAATCTATTAATTTCTGGTGGTTTTTGTTCTGATTTGAAATTCATCTTTTAGGCTGACCACTTTTTAATTGTTTTAGGTTCATCGTCATAGTTGATGGTGTTTGATTTTTGTATTCCCATTTAAAAAAAGAACGCTAGTTTGATTTTTTTAAATCTTTAAAGTCTTAGTTTTATATTGTCATCAGCATAAGCAAGAAAGAAAGACCCACCAGGACAAAGGATTTTGTGCATTCCTAATAATCAATAGTGTTCATCTGGTAATCAAAAAGTTGCTGGTTTGATCCTAAGAAAAGTTAGTACATAATCAGGGTTGCCACCTCAGGTCAGAAAAAAATCGGGACATTGCCTCCCTCCCTCCCGGATTAACATAGGCTTAAATACAGGCATAAGGAACCAAATTGGGACTGTCCCGGCAGAATCGGGACGGGTGGCAACCCTGGTACATAGCGTTTCTGTGGTTTGCTACCGGGACTGGACCCAGCTGCCCTTGATCATTTGATGATGGCTTTTAATAAATTATCCAGGCTAATGAAACTGCTGATTTTATTCAGTAACAAAGGATACAGATAATCTCATTCCATTATACACTCATCCTTACCTTATATTTGGGTTGAAACCTGTCGAATGGCATCTTCATCCCAATTTGTAATATTGGCATGATCCTTATGTTCCTAAATTTGTCTATTTTAATTTAAGTTATGCCTAGCTAATTAACTAGCAGTTGTATAGTGACTAATGCTCTTCATTTGCTTATATCTACTTCTCTCAATCCTGTATGTAATTAGTTTCTACTTTGAATCAGTAAATAATCCAACTTGTTTGTTCCAGGGATGGCGGAGGAGGCGCGCTCTTCGAGGCAGGAACCCAAGGTTTGTTTATAATTTCTAACCCTTAAGATTAGTTGAATTTTTTCAGAGCACAGAATAGCAACTACAGTAGACTCCCTCTTATCCGGACTCCTCGGGACTGAGGCCAGTCCGGATAACGGGTTTTCCAGTTAAACTGACATCCCCAAAAACTCTTTAAAACGGACTGTTTACTGTGATATTCGACTTAAATTTAGGTGAGCATTGTATTAAGACACGTGATCACTGGTCTCAAATCTTTCCCACGAGAACAGGCGTTTCAGTACTGCCCACTTCCTGCTGATCTAGTCCGGTTACACCAATGTGCTGATGAAAATTGTCCGGTTAAACCGATGTCCGGTTAAAAGGTGTCGGGATAAGAGGGAGTCTTCTGTATAGAGGGAAGGAAGAGAGGCATTTAAACAATTTTCAAAAGTTGCGTTAAAATCCTTCTACATATAATAAGCCTAACACACATAGTTTTCATGTGATTTCAACTAGTTAAGTAAGCTTAGCTGGGTGGTCGAGAGTGTCATATTTTCATGTTAGCTGGTTTAAACCCATTACGGGTCTGTCTGTACTGAACCGAATTTGCATGGTCATCAGGCAAAATTGGATGATCCTATGACCTTTCCAACATGTTGATGTACTTCAACAAAAACATAGTTTCGATCCCTTCCTAAATATTTATTAATGTCTGGTGTTAACATAAACAGAAAATAAAGACACAATAGTGATTTCACTTAAGATTGTAAAGCTAAGTTTCTAGAATGTTTGTAATAAAGTATGATCGTGACATAAGGTTTTTTATAGCGTAATTTGTCTTATGTGGTGACCGCACACACTCTGTGTGGTTTGAATTTATTTAGGTCATTGTTCTTGTATTTATCAGAAGTTTGTTATGTTTTCCACTTTGCTTTGTTTGGATTTTTACTTTATTTTGTAATTTTGAGTTGCAAAATTACAATAGCAGGTTGTTAGTTCGGTTTATTGACAAATTATGTAATATTTCCCTACCTATTAATTGCTTTAACCAATTTATTTTTGCCCCTGGTTAGGCCAAGGGAATTAGATGTGTAGAAGAAGTAAGACAATTTCACAATAGACAAGGATCTTAAAAAGATGATTGGAATAGGATGAATGATGTCATCATAAGATAGTTTAGTGATAGATGAAGTGACATCATTGTTTGTGTTAGATTGTCCATTAGTGGCCACTTTTAATGGTGGCTTTGTTGAAATTAGAAGATTTTCAATTTTTTATTCACTATGCTAATTTATGATTCTTCTATCTTAGCCCTTCATAATACAAGGTTTTTTGAGAGTTCTCTTCTAGGGGCTAAATGTAATTCAGCTAAAGTTTGGCAACAGCAAAAATTAATTTTCCATGTACCGTCAAGTTTAAGTACCGGTACTTAAAAACATGGACCTATTTTTTATTTCGTATAAACATTTTATAAACTATAGAAATATTTTATAGCATACAAATATGTTGCAACAAGCTTTTAATATTGTATGACAACACAACTGTTTTCTTCCTTGGTTATCGTTTGAAAATTCTTAAAAAATTAAAATTGTCGTCCTCATTTAATTGACAACCTAATTAAATTTAAGATACATAATTTCAAGATAAAGAGTAATTTGAAAAGTATTTAGTTAAAATCCTTCAGCCCACTATAATATGAGTTAAGTCTGCTTGATTGAATGTTTTTACTCAGATTTGGCCCCAAAATCACCTTTATTGTAGGGTATAAATAAGTTCCGGGTTCTGCTTATTATGTAATTGGGGTCTAATGGCCATATCAAAATGAATTTCAAACGTATAATGGCGAAAATAATCTAGTTTGCCGAAGAATACATTTAAAACTTGTTTACCAATAAGTCCTGTACGCTCCTTATAATTCTGACCGATTTTCGTACCCATAAAAAGCACGTCTGAAAATTAATAATTTTTTACACACCGTAAACACTATTTAAAAGCTCGGTTATTAAAAGAACACATCATTTGGCCATAATCCAACAGCAATGACGTCCGTGACTCTAGAAAGTAAACGTGGTCTTCATAAGAACAGTTTCAAATGGTAGAATAGGGCCTATTGTGTTTGCATTGTAGGCCTATTACACAAACACTAAACGCAAAATCCGTAAATGTATCTCGGTGGCAATATAATCAATCACACTCTTTTGCATCGTCGGGTTTATGTGATAAGATCTGGTGCTGGTAGCGTCTACGGGATACGGTCACAGAGTATCGGAGACGCACAAAGATGCAGACGTAGACGGTGTGACCTGGTTAGACGAGTGACCCTCGGTCATTTCCGGCTCATCCTGCGTCCGGCATATCGGGGGCGATACAACCGGCAACTAGTAACTGGGCAGATCTGCGTACCAGTCCTACGTTGTGGTTAATCACATTTTGGGAACGGTTGTGGGTTCTGTTTTAATATTATGACGTAATAGCCAGGACAGTTTGCCACGGCTTCCTATTATCCGGACTCCTCGGAACTGAGTCCCGTCTGGATTAACGGGGTTTCCGGTTAACTGACGTCCCTTGAATGACTCGAAAACAAACCCAATATCAAACGCGGCGTCTGTAAAGTAAAATGAAAATAGCCTGGAGATCACAAAGTTTACGACAATATGACTGGGATATGATTGTAAACGTGTTAGCCTACATAAGTTTTTGCCAGCGACCACAGCGTTTTTTTGTTACTAATGTAGGTTAGCATTAAATCGTGCAGTCTTTAAAATTAAAGTGCGTAGGATGACCAACCTTCCCCTTAAAACACAATACCGTCAAATTGTAAAGAAGGTTAGTTTAGGAAAGTGGAATAAGAATAAGAAAGTGATAAGATGGCCGATAAGGAGAGAAACTATTATTTTAAACGTCTAGTACTGTAAGTTTATAAGATGTCAATAGTTCATCCACATTCTGTTTTCTAAAATCACGACTATAGTCTGTACTATATAACCTGTACCCTAACCCTCCCTCTACCTAGGACTGGCCCGAGCCATTATTGGACCCCAGGTTAACGGAGGGTTGGAGACAGGTTTCTTCATACAGACTATAATCAGATGACACCAGTCGCACCTCGCATGCATGATATCCAGCGGGCGTGTACAGTGTTTGTTACGTTCCGAACCACCAATCAAGTATAACGTCTCAAGGTGTTTGTAAGCTCTGAGTGGTTTTATTGTGCAGTTTCCAATCAATGGAACCATTGCGTGAATGTCACCTCGAGTAGTCAAGGGCGGACGTTTTTTGTTCGATCGCTTCCGCAGCTTGGTTAACAAAGTGGAAGATATTCGCAACAGTTAAATTATACACCTAGTGCATTTACTACTTGGGTGTCCAGTTTTGCCCGAAAAGGTCGAAAGTGGAAGACGTAATTTACTATTTTAGTGTATTTCCCCTTTGGATAAGCTTAATTTCAGTTGGTCTCATGGTAAGTCATAGACCCGGGAACGATTGAAATTTTCGTTATGATATCCCTAGAGGCCAAAAACACCATTCATGTGCCCTTTAGCACGATAACACGAATGAAAAATTATTTTGTTGAAATTTGCTGCAAACGTGAAAACCTACGTTATTCTAACGTGTTCGTGAATGAGCATAGTCTGTGGGAATGGGATTTTAACCTTTTTTAGAATACTGTATAAACTGTTGTAGTTTGTTTTAGGAAAAATATTATCGTTTCTTGTGTACTTTATTGGATAAAAGTACTAATCTAAACATTATTAGACAAATGTTTGCGATGCGATTATTAGGACTGTTTGCTATGCTGGTGTATCTCCCCCTCATTGTCATTTGATGGTCGCGAATTAATCTAGCGCTCGCAAATTCATAAGTGGTTTATGCGGGGTACATGTTGATGGAGCTACTGCCGATGGTGAATTGTATTGTAACCCTGAAGGTAAAACTTGTTCGCAGAAGAATTAAGTCCCTCGATACTCCTTTTGCGGTTTCCAACCGGGAGTAAGGTTTTCTCGAACCCATGAACTATTTATTACACGTTTATTTTGGTATAGAAATTTAAAACCTGTGCACATCTATTTTGATTATGGAAATCATCGGTGGGGGATTTGAGCTTTGATATCTGACCCTGATAATAAATGGGCACTAAATAGGATGCTGTAACTTATTAATCCTCACCACACTGGGAGCTTTCGAGTTATCGAAATTCACTAATATATTGATTCTAGCTCAAATTAAATGTTTGGTTTTACTTATCTTGTTTACTGTAAATTTAAATGGTAAAAACATTGAGATGTCGTCCATTGTCAAAATAAGCTGACATAATTATCGATTTTCATTCTGTATGGACATTCCAGTGGTTTCTGCAGTTGTTCGCATAAAAAATATGCATAAAAAAGTCCTCGCATCGGAGTTAATTTTGGATAACTGTGAAATAGCCACGTTATTTTGGGTAATTTTAAATTGTAAAATGAACACGATCATTAAAGAGGATTGGAAGGCCCGTCTAAACCAAAAATGATGAAATAGCCACGATTGCAATGTTACATTCTGTGCAAGTGTTCACCAACTTGTTCGACTTGTTCTGGGTAGGCACGGAGCAACGGCTACAGTGGCTGCGGACCGGAAGCGTGAAAATAGAGCGAAGCGAGCGAGAGAAAGTGAACGGGACAATGAGCAATAGGCTGCACTTTCTCTTATCCGTCTGTCAATCTCTGGTCTTTGTCTATGTCTAGTGTGTAGTGTAGAGGCCTTTGTCATCATCAGCATTTCTCATGTTTATTGTTTACTCACACACATCACCCGCACACACACATAAACATCGTGTGAGGCGAGAATTGATCGGATCGTTCGAAAATATTGCTCTTTATTGTGGAGATTGAAAGGTCTAGACTATTTTGTTATGTAGTCCTATTCATGGATAACGCTGAATTCTAGAATCAGGGAACTGATTTCTCTTAAGTTCTTATATATTGTGTTGATGTCATTTCATTTTGAATCTTTTACATAATCGAGATGAGGACTAGCAAATACGTTATGCTACTATTTAG